GCGCCCTGCTGTGGGTGGAGGGGGGAGATCGGTGCAGCTCCGGTTGCTGATATGAATCACGGTCCTTCCCCTTCTGTCCCCCCTTCCTCCCCCTTCCCATCCTTCCTCTGTTCCTCTTCCTTCCTCTGTTTTTTTTCTCCTCTCCTTTCTCTTCTGTTACTTCGCCTGGATGGTAGGCTGTAGCCAGCGGTTCTCAACCTGTGGGTCGCGACCCCTTTGGCGATCGAACGACCCTTTCACAGGGGTCGCCTAAGACCATCCTGCATATCAGATATTTACATTACGATTCATAACAGTAGCAACATTACAGTTATGAAGTAGCAACGAAAATAATTTTATGGTTGGGTCACAACATGAGGAACTGTATTTAAAGGGCCAGAAGGTTGAGAACCGCTGCTGTAGGCAGCTCTGAGTTGCTCAGGTCTACCCTTCCGAGCTTTACCTTCTCTCCCAGACCATGGGGGCAGCCCTCTGTTGAAGGGAAAAAGGCACATAACACCCCCCTCCAGTGTGCTCTTATTTCACTGGCCCTTCTCTGTGGGTGGACATGCTAAGGACTCTAGAACCTTTTAAAAGGCTATGGAAGAGGAGACATTGAAACCCAGCCTGATGCCTGTGAAGGAAACTGGAAGGTGGTTTTGACATTTTAAATGACTTCGTAAGCCACAATCAGCACCTGAGCCTAGGGAGGCGGCTGGCGGAGGAAAGCTTGTCTGTATGGTTATTTGTGATCAGCGGGGTGAGAAAAGTGACCATTGCCTGTTACAGTGTTGGGGTGAGTGGGCAGTTCATTCACTTCCTGCAGCCAACTGGGCAGACTTCTGCGCCCCTCCCCTCACCCCCCAGTTTGAAAGTAGCCACATTCAGATAATTGGCTACTACATCAGTCCTACCCATCTGCTGGTGCTTGACAGGACTGGACACCAGTACGTAGGCAGGACCACATTTCACTGTGCCTCTTGATGAATTGTCCCCACACAGCATGCCTGGAGCCTTTCTCTAAGAGAACAGATGGTCGTGGGACCTAGAACACCATCAGGGCTCCCAGTGCCTCTTCTCAAAGTCTGTGTTTTTCCTTGAGGGTGGCACCCACCCACACGTTCCCAGAACAGCAGCAGGACCCTGGCATGCATTAGGACAAAAGCTTTCTTTTTTATTTCATTTTTTTATAAGCCCTACAAAGGCACCTTAGTGAGAAGTCAGCTCTGTCTCATGCTCACAGAATAGGTTGTTCTCAGGTGGGTGGCTTTGTTCCCCTGCGTTTTTGCCACCAGCTTCCCAGGAAGAACCTGTTTAAGACCTGTGGGGGCGTGAGAGGAATGGGTAAGCACTTTGAGATTTCATCTGTAGTAGTTAAAGCTTTTAAGCCATTGGGAACAGAGCCATCTTGTGGGAACATGATTGGCAGGGAGGGGGGCAGTGAGATTATCATAAAAGTTCAAAGGTCTTCAAAGGCAGGAAGCCCCCTGGGCCTTAAGAAGGGAGAAGGGTTTCTCATGATACCCCTAGTTTTCATATCTGCTTTTCTCTGCCTGGCTGCCTTAATTATTGTTTCCTGTTACAGATTTCTGTTTTTCTGCTCCCAAGTGGTGGAAGTCCCTTGTGTGCCCCCCTCCCCCGCTGCACCCCAATCCCATATCCAGTTTCTGTGTCTCCTTTTGATTACCTACCTCTAAATACTTCTGGTGGCTGTCAGTAGTAGCCTTGATGTTGGTCTCAAGGTTTCTTCTGGTGCCTTCTAGCAGAACATAGCATGAGTATGGCCTCAAAGAAAGGCTTGTGACACCTTTTTGTGGTGCCAGAAGGGAAAATGAAAACTTGACTGGCAACCAGCCAAGCACCTCCTAATAGCATGCTATCATGCTATATTGAGGTCGAAGGGAGGAGGTGGGAATATAACCTGCCACATATGTGCCTTGAGGATCAAGTGGATTCTCGCTCCTCTCTCCTTGCCTCCAGTAGCTTTGTCATCTTGATTGTTGAGTTGTCCTGACACAAAGCTAGGCTTATATCCCTGTTACTCACATCAGCTGCCCACGTGCCTCCCATTGTCAGAGCAACCTCAAGTGGATTGAAGGCATTCTTTTTTTATCCTCTTAAATAGTAGTTGACATCATGTCCTTGGGATCAGATTTGTCAGAAGCCTGGCTTCTGACAGAAAAACCAATGTCCCCTCAACCCCATTTCCTCAGGAGCTCCAATTGGAGGGCGACTGAGCTTCCTGGGCAGGTGTGGCCACTTGCCTGCAGCCCCCCCCACGCCTTGCTTTTCTTCAGCCTGTTTCCCTTCTCTCTGTTTAATTCCATCCACTTTCTCGCTGGGTGTTTCTTGTATGATGATCCGATGTCTGGAGGAAGGCACACCCCTCAGATGGCTTCCCCCAGGCTCTCTTGAGGTGGACAGACTATAGCTATTTGGGCTGGGCTGCACAGGACCCTTTCTTCCTACAGCAGATGTTTAGTGAGCTACAGCAACAAGCCAGGCAATGGGGATGTGGACAGTGAGCTAAATAGATAAAGATCTAATCTGGCGGGCTGGGGTGGGGGGGTGGCTTACCTGAGTGATAAGACTAATAGCATGAAGGTAGTTAGAAGCACTGTGGAGAGATTATAAACAGGGCTAGAGGGCATGGGGAGCAGACTTGCTGCTTTTAGTGAGGGTGGTCAGAAAAGGCCTCTGACAAAATGACACTTCAATATTTACCCAAAGGAAATTGGGGAGTGAGTGGCATGTCTGTCTAGAGCAGTGGTTCTCAACCTTGGCTGCACATTAGAATCACCTGGGAATCTTTTTAAAATCCTGATTTCTGGGCCTCATCCTCTGGAAATTCGTTTCTTTGTGGGGCCACAACATTAGTAACAAAGAAACAGAATTTCCGGAGGATGAGGCCCAGAAATCAGGATTTTAAAAAGATTCCCAGGTGATTCTAATGTGCAGCCAAGGTTGAGAACCACTGGTCTAGAGGAAGAGTATTCCAGGCAGAGGGAAGAGGTAGCACAGAGATTGGAGCATGCTTTGTGTGTATTAGGGGAACAGCAAGGAGACCAGTGTGGCTGGAATGGATTG